TCTCCCACTACGGAACTGACACTGAACGGAGCGTTTCGAGGTCGAACAGCTGAGTCCTGGAGTCCAGGAGTTGCCAGCGAGTCTTTCCAGGCGGGACTACTGGAATTCTCAGCATACATTAATACTAAATTCGCCCTTTTGAGTGGCAACTGGAACAGAGGCTAATCCACCGAGGAATACGAAGAATAATCAAATTCTTCCCATAAAAAATAACAAAGATAAGTCGTGAGACCTGGAAGCCAAGGATGAGATACCAATGTCTAAATTAACGACTGACCGCACGGGCTTAATATAATGCATCTTTTATCAAGCAAAACACGACAAACGCAAACGCAGATAAAAGTAAAGGACAATAGCGCCGATCTGCCATGCCTCAGCCTCGCAGTCTGATATCCAGCAATAACAACATCGGAGCACGTGGAGAGAAAGAAGCGCTGATGAAACGAATAACTTATCGGACGGAAATTCAAACGTTACCTCCGTCGCAGTCGAAGGGAGCTGCACGGAGTCAAGATTATACGATCCGTACCGAGTGAGGAGGCTGCAAATCGCACTCGCCACCCCCAACACCAACAAAAAAACGGGATACGGAAAAGGACAACAAAGCATTAGAGTTTACACGTGATGCTACTCATTGATTTTTGGCGTGCTTAGGCGCAAGCGCTCACAAGGCGAGATTCACAGAAAACGGTCAACAGCGGATCTCACAGAGCCAATGTCAACAGATGAAGAGCACTCGTTTTCTATATCGATGGGGTTCTGTTATATTCTCCAGTATCATATTCTTGCTTTTTAGATATTTATGAACATGTCCATATGAAGTTAATCCATTAGCGATATGGAGTTGTTTTTTCCCGCGATCTGAGAAACCCGAAGGCGGTTCCCATTCATTCACATACGCTCTTAACCCTCCGTCTCAGTCTCCACACGGCCTCCCCCTTCGCACTCTCCTTTCTATTTCTCTCATGTACATTTATAGTTGAATAAATAGATAAAACATGTGTACATATATATTATAATATATATATATATATATATATATATATATTACATACATATATAATATATATATATATATATATATATATATATATATATATATATATATATACATTCATGTGAGTAAAAGTATATATATATATATATATATATGTATATATATATGTATATTTATGTATATATACACATGTGCACATATGTAGATATATGTACATGTGTGTGTGTGTGGATAGAAAGAACGAAATATATACTTAGGTATATATCAAACATATTTTTGTATAGATACGTATGTTTATATAAATATATAAATATGTAAATGATTAAATATGTATACATACATACATACATATACATATATATATATATATATATATATATATATATATATACATGTATATATACTTTTACTCACATGAATGTATACATATATTTACATGTATGTGTGTATGTATATATATATATATATATATATATATATATATATATATATATATATATATATGTATATATATGTATATATATATTATATATATATATATATATGTATGTATATATATGTATATATATGCATATATATATATATATATGTATATGTATATATATATGTATAAATATATGTATATATATGTATGCATGTATATATATGTAATATATGTATATATATGTATATATATGATATATATATATATATATATATATATATGTATAAATATACATGAGTGTGTGTGTGTGTGTGTGTGTGTGTACATCTATATAAGCATATATATACATACATATATGTATATATATATAATTATATATATAATGATGACACTAATCAGAAGATTAAATTTAATTAGTTACATGTTTTGATGTAATATATCATTGTAATTATTATAATTTTTGATAATATTGCTGAATTCCCATAATTGTTGTCGCGGTTATGTTGTTATTGTTTAGGAATCATTATGTTTAATGTTTAAGTTTAATGTTTAGTATTTAAGGTTTATTTTTTTCATGTTGACTGTTTTTAATGTTCTGTTTATGTTCTGTGTTTAATGTTTTAGCGTTTAATGTTTTTTCAGTGTGTGATGTTTTAATGTTTAATATTTTTGATGCTTAATGTTTTATGTTTTATGTTTATAATTGATGTTTAATTATGTATGATATCAGTTCATTAGTATCCCAACTGCTATCCTTAGCATTAGTATCACCGCCACTGATCAGTATTGTTATTATTATTATAATTATCATTTGCATTGCTATTATCAATACGTATATCATTGTTATTATTACGAATTTTCCTTCGTTCATCTTTATTTTTGGTAGCGTTGGTTTGTTCGTTGGTTAGCAGGATAACTCTGAAAGTTGTGATTTTTTTATGAAAGTTTTACCAGAACTGCGTCTTAACCTGATTCAGGAGCCACTCGGTTTTGATGGTGACCCGGATTCATGAATTTTTAAAATCACTTTACTCAAAAAGTTAAATACAGATTTTTATGAAATTTATACCATAGGTGTGTCTTATTCTAGTTTAGAATCCACTAAGGTTTGGTGGTGATCCGGATCCAGGATATTCTTGAATGAATGAATCCACTTATCTCTATAGCCTTGCCTCCGCCAATGAGATTATGTTTACGGGCGTCGCCAATGTACTCGAGTAAGGTGATTCTAATGTGTAATTCTTCAAATGCGAGTATTTCATTGCATCACTGACCTTATTGAGCTTATGTGCTTCTAGTTGTTATTATTATAACCATAATTGTAATATTCAGTATTGTTCTCATTATTAGTATAATCATAATTTTCATCATTATTATTATTATTCTCGCTAATACTCTTATTGTTATTATTATTATCATAATTATGATTACTAAAATACTATCATTATCATTATTATTATTATCATCATCATCATGATTAGTATTATTATCGTTGCTACTACTATGAACATTTTTGTTCTTATTATTACTATTATTGTTATTTCTGTTATTATTGCTATTATCATTATCATTATTATTATTATCATTATCATGAACAACACTTTAGCTATTATTGTCATTATCACCACTATCATTATCATCATTGTTTTTTTCATTACTGTTACAACTATCATTTTCATTATTATCACCATTATTATTATCCATATTGTTATTATCATTATTATCTTTACTATCACTACTACTATTACTTCTGTTACCATGATTATCACTACCATTGCTATCATTGATATAATCATCGTTACTATTATTATTATCATACCTATAATACTTTTACTCTTGTCATTATCTTTGGTGTTACCACTGTTATTATCATCAAGATTGTTGTATTAGTATCGTCATTTTGTTTATCGCCATCATTCGTATATTTATCATTGTTAGCATAGATATAATAGCAAGTTGTTCCATTCGTCTAATAAAATGAGGCTGTTATATATATATATATATATATATATATATATATATATATATATATATATATATATGTATAAATATGTATATATATATGTAATATATATTTTATATATGTAATTTTATATATATATATATATATATATATATATATATATATATATATATGTATATGTATATATATATATATAAATATATATATGTATATATATATTTTTATATGTAATTATATATAATATATATATATATATAATATATATATATATATATACTGCTTGTTATGTGTCATTGTTTCTGTTTTTCTTTCTTTGTCTGAGTTCTTGGGATGTGTTTTTGCCTGGTTTCTCTTTTATTGGTATCTGTGTCTTCGTTTCTTCTCCTGGTATATCCGTCCTTGTTTCATTTTTTTTTTGTACTTGTGTCTCTGATTCACGTGATACACTTTCCTTATTTTTTGTCTTGATATCCGTGTTTTTGTAAGATGGAATAATGCAGTGATTCATTGATTACATACATACACACACACACACACACACACACACACACACACACACACACACACACACACACACACACACACACACATCAGTGGTTCTCAACTGTCTGCGACACAGCAACTCTTTTCTCCAATAGCATATACATATGGATCTAATATACATGTATAGTTGTCATATTCCATATTCTCTTGAAAATGTATATACTTCTGCACCTTATTGCATGAAAATACTTTGCAAATCCGCTGTATATTAGGTAGGACAGTAGTATAACTATCATCTTTATCATTATTGCCAAAGTATATTTTCATCTATCAAATATCTATCGAAGAAGGTGTCCCCATTAAAATTCCCCAGCATTCCATACAAAAAATGAATAATCATGAGATTGCATATGTTACGCGACACAGTTTGAAAACCACTGATAAAAGTAAATAACAACCCTTCCTGACCAGTACTCACTTTGCCATTTTAGGTATGACCCAGAATGAACAGTGCTAAACCAACTAGACCAAACGACCCTTCGAAAGAATTGCGCAACCACAGTTTGCAGAAAAATAATACACCCTGATCAGGACACGAACCTGGGCCACTGTAGGCATGAAACTGTAAGACCCAAACTATTCGTACCACACGACCTACTAACGAAAGTATGCAACTAGGAGCTAATTATCTCCAAAGATATCATATATCGCCTCCTACATGAGTAATGATAGCAAAGTCGTGGGCATTCGATAAGTTATTTATCCATGTCAATGCGGAAGTCTAATAACAGGTACGAAAAAAAATCAGGTTAGAAAACAACTAACTGGTAACTTACCCTGGGCACTGGAGTGTTTTGGATCGAAATGCCTCTTCTCATATCTAAATAGCAGATACGTAGTGTTAAAATTATGTTATTATCATCGGCATTATTATCATTACTATGTTTCACATTTGCTACTTTCATTTTCTTTCAAAACAGACAGCGAATCGGAGTCTAGGGGGTGAGTTGCCAGTTCGTATATATTTCCTGAGACTGGACGGATCACATTGACTCCATACACAGTACATGTTTACTCTTACTTATGTTTCGCGGCAGATAATTTAGGATAATCAATCAATCAATATTATTTGA